TTTGGGAAGCTGAGGCGAGAGGACTGCCTGAGCCCAGGAGTTCGAGATCAGCCTGGACAATGTGGTAAGACCTCGTCACTATGATAAATTAAAAAAAAAAAAATTAGCTGGGCATGGTGGTTCACATCTGTGATTCCAACTACTTGGAAGGTTGAGGCGGAAGGATTGCCTGAACCCAGAAGGTCAAGGCTGCGGTGGCATGATCATGCCACGTGCTCCAGCCTAGGACTCCAACTCAAAAAATAAAATAAAGGGAATGCAGAGGTAGTCAATGTGTGCTTACTTTCCAATTTAATGCTTTTGTAGTTTAGATTTTATTCCTTAATTTTAACTACAAACATTCTTCATTTAATAATGAAAAGACAGCATGTAAGGGGTTATGGTACTACACAGAAACCAGGTGTTACCCTCAGTGAGGGTAAAAGACTAGAAATGGTGATTCCATTGTGCATCAGGGTTGAGAAGCACTAAAACTGGCAGACTGAGAACAAAAACTAGCATGGTATCTGCCAAAAACTATAATGGATCACAAAAAAAAAAAGAAAAATTTAAAAAGAAAATCTAAGATTAGCAAGCTCCAATAAGAAAAGCTTTATATTTTATAGGTGACATTTTAAAGACAAAAATTAAAATATGCTAAGAAACATGAAAATAACAGACTTACGTGAATACAGGTTTTTTGGGTTTTTTTTGAGTTGGAGTCTCAGTCTGTCGCCCATACTGGAATGCAGTGGCCGCTTCCGGCCACCGCAGCCTCGACTTGCTGGGCTCCGGCAATCCTTCCGCCTCAGCCTTCCAAGTAGCTGGAACTACAGGCACACGCTACCATACCCAGCTGATTTTTGATTTATTGTAGAGATGAGGTCTTGCCAAGTTGCCCAGGCAGGTCTCGAACCCGCGGGCTCAGGCAATCCACTCACCTCAGCTTCCCAAAGGCACGGGATTATAGGCTGAGCCACTGAGACCGGCTAAATACAAGATTTTTTTTTTTTGAGTTGGAGTCTCACTCTGTCGCCCAGACTGGAATGCAGTGGCCATTCCCGGCCACCGCAGCCTTGACCTGCTGGGCTCCGGCGATCCTTCCGCCTCAGCTTTCCAAGGAGCTGGAACTACAGATGCGCACTAGCACGCCTACCTAATTTTTTGATTTATTGTAGAGATGAGGTCTCGCCAAGTTGCCCGGGCGGGTCTCGAACCCACTGGCTCAGGCAATCTACTCACCTCAGCCTCCCAAAGGCGCGGGATTACAGGCTGAACCACCGAGCCAGGCTTAAATACAGGATTTTTAAGTGATCAGACCAGTTCTAGTGTTAAGCAATCATCATTGTGGTACATATATTAATATTAATTATTAAAAATGCTTTTTTCTTTTTTTTTTTTTCTTTTTTTTGAGTTGGAGTCTCACTGTGTCGCCCAGGCTGACGTACAGTGGTACACTCACAGCCACCACAGCCTCAACCTACTGGGTTCAGGCAATCCTTCTGCCTCAGCCTTCCAAGCAGCTGGAACTACAGATATGCACCACCATGCCCAGCTAATTATTATTTTTTTTGAGTTGGAGTCTTACTCTGTCACCCAGACTGGAGTGCAATGGCTGCTCCCAGTCACTGCAGCCTTGACCTGCTGGGTTCTGGTGATCCTTCTGCCTCAGCCTTCCAAGTAGCGGGAATTACAGGAGCACACTACCACGCCCGGCTGATTTTTGATTTATTGTAGAGATGAGGTCTCACCAAGTTGCCCAGGCAGGTCTTGAACCCATGGGTTCAGGCAATCCACTCACTTCAGCCTCCCAAAGGCACGGGATTACAGGCTAAGCCACCGAGCCCAGCTTAATTATTTTATTTACTGTAGAGATAAGGTCTCACCAAGCTTCCCAGGCTGTTTTCAAGCCTGTGGGCTCAGGCAATCCTCTCACCTCAGCCTCCCAAAGTGCTAGGATTATAGGCATGAGCCACTGTGCCTGGCCTAAAGATGTTTTTGTTTTTTTAAAGCAAGATTTATTGAGAGGACAGAAAAGCTCCCACAGTGGGAGGGGACCCAAAGGGAATGCCCTAAAGATGCTTTTAAAATTTGATTTTATTTGCACATATAGCCTGGCAAATACTGCAATATAATTCCAAATATTATAAGGAACCTTCAAATCAGAAAGACAGCACATATCCTCAAACTATCAAGAATATGAAGCTATAAGCTCTAAGAAGTACACTAACAGAGACAAGTAAACAATCACACAGGGCAGTCACTACCTAAAAATACCTACTCCCTCCCACTGCCCCAAAGTTCCTCTGAAAAAATAATCTCTTAATTATAGTGACGAAAGTTCAGTCAAGCGTATTAAGTATCTCCTGGGAGCTACAGATTATGCCACGTTAGGACAAGGAAAGTACAAGATGAGTTTGGAATGTCTTACTGTACCAGAACGCAAGGAAGTGCTCAAAAAAGTGGTGAGTACTAAATTAGGGAAACATCTAATGAGAAAGAGAATACTCACAGTTCAAAAGTATGTCCCTTCAAGTTACTTAATTACAATAGAAAAAGCAGTAACTACACAGTAGAGAAAAAAGGACAACACTTAAACTAAGTAACTAAAATTAGCATCACCAATAAGGGGCTTCATGTGCCCCAGGTATAACCTGAGAAAGACACATCCATTTTTGTAGTATTTCAGCTGAAAATATATAGTTTGGGTTTAGTCACGAGGAAAGAGACAAGTCTAAAATGAGGGACTTTCTGGAAAATAAGTGATTTATATTCCTTTAAAGTGTCAATGTTATGAAAGACAAAGAAAGGTTGAGAAACTGTTCCAAACTAAAGGTGATTAAAGAAATACCTAAATAAAATACATAATACTGAACTGAATCCTATGATGGGGAGAAAATTTGTCATAAAGAATGTAACTGGGACAAATGATAAAATTAGGTTATAGATTAAGACACAAGCCTTCTAATAGTGTTACATTTCCCAAATTTGATAAACACCACTGTGGATATGTAAAAGAATATTTTTTCTTAAGAAATACACACTAAAATATTAAGGAGTAAATGGCCATGGTGCTCACAACCCACTCCCAAATGGCTTGAATATGGGTAAAAAAAGACACACACATACATACATAGAGAGAGAGCAAATAATTAAGCAAAGGCAGCGAAATGTTAAAAATAAGTGAATCTAGGTGGAGGAAAATCTGTGAAAATTTTCTGTACTAATCTTGCAAACTTACTGTAAGCTGAAAATTATTTCAAAGTAAAAATTTTTTAAAATATGGAGAAGTGTCAAAAGAACACAGATGCCAACGCAAAGGGGGCCAATATCTAAAGAAAGATATTCATATAGTTTCAAAGTATCTCCCCAAAGATTACTTATTAATCACAAGGGAAAATGATAACTTCATAGTGGATTAATCTGGCAGTTACCACCTTAACTAAATGACCAAAGTTAATATTACCCATAATAGGAAAGAGACATCATGTATCTACCAATGTGATATACTCTGAATATACAGCTTCAACACATGCTAGCCCTTACCAAAAAGACAAAACAATCTAATCATGAGGCAGCATTACAAAAACCTAAATGGAAGTACTTTCTTTAAAAATTGACCCTGTACTCTTTTAAAAACGTCAATATGGGCCAGGTGGGGTGGTTCATGCCTATAATCTCAGTACTTTGGAAGCCTGAGGTGGGCATACTACTTGAGTCCAGGAGTTCAAGACCAGCCTGGGCAACATAGTGAGACCTTATCTCTACAAAAAAAATTTTTTTAATTAGCAAGGCATGGTGGTACACGCCTATAGTTCCAGCTACTCGGGATGCTGAGGTAGAAGGATCACCTGAGCCCACTGGGCGACAGAGTGAGACCCCCAACTCAAAAATTTAAATTTTTTTAAAATGTCAATGTAAGACAGGTGTGCTGGCTCACGCCCATAATCCCAGCATTTTGGAAGGTAGAGGCAAGAGGGTTGCCTAAGTTCAGGAGTACAAATTCAGCCTGGGCAACTTGGCGAGATCTCATCTCTACAACAAGTCAAAACATTAGCCAGGCATGATGGTACGCGCCATGCCTATGGTTCCAGTTACTTGGAAGGTTGAGGTGAAAGGATCTTCTGAGTCCAAAAGGTTGAGGCTGGTGGTGGCTATGAGCATGCCACTGCACTCCAGCCTGGGAGACTCCTACTCAAAAAAAAAAAAAAAAAAAAAAGTCACTGTGATTTAAAAAAACAAAGACTGGGGAACTGTTCCAGATTACAGAAGACTAAAGAGGCACCTAGTTAGAATGCATATCCTGGATGGGTCAGGCTATAATTACTGGGATAAATGGCAAAATATGACTATTTCAATTGCATATTCGATAATAATACTGTATCAAGGTCAAATCTCCTAATCTGATCATTGTCTGTAGCTCTCAGGAAATAACACACTAAAACATTTGGAGGAAAGAGATCATTATACCTGCTACTTAATCTCAATTGATTCAGCAATAATGACAATAAGTGTCTATAGAGAGAACAACAAAACAAAGACTGTACAATTTTTTTTTTCTTAAGAGACAGGGTCTCACTATGTCATCCAGGCTGGTCTTGAACTCCTGGACTCAAGTGATCCTCTAGCCTCAGCCTTCCAAGTGCTGGGATTACACATCACCACACATAGTTATCAAATGCTGCACACTTTTAATTGGTGAATCTATTCGCAGAATTCAGTAAGTTTGAAAGGTTTTCTAAATAAAAATTAATAATAACCATACACTGTTCCCATTATCAGAAATATCAGCGTTGTCATTTTGCAAATGGAGATGGGAATCTATGTATATAGACAGACACATAAACACACATATACATATACATTTTACTTTGAGATACCTCTATTGGGGGGAGTAGAATATATAAGCAAAGGAAATATTCCATACAATAAAACAATTAAATAATGACACAGAAGCATCTTTAAAAAGCATAAAACAAGATGACAGAGTCAAATATATTAATATACACTAAGCTTCTATAATTACAGTCTCAAAATGAGTCAAAAATCCAAATCCAACTACTAAGGTCACCATGACTATGAAAATGTACCAGAAATCTGCCAAATTTGAGGAAAACTTGTCTACCTTCAAAAAGATGTAGCATGTGCCATATGACAATTTCAGTGCTCAATTCCCAGTTTCTACCTCCCTTTTATTGGTACTCTTGAAAGCAATATATGAGAAGAAAAAACATTTTTTTCTCTAACAAATACATATCACTTAGAGAATATTCAACAAAAAAGCAGTATAAATTATCAATGAACCAAATTGTTCAAAGAAGAATTTAAATTTTTTCTTGATTCAGGAAAAAATTATACTCACTTCTTTTGGAGTATGATTATCAGCAATTCTCTGACCTTCAAAGAGAAACCTGAGTGAATTCATTGGAACTCCCTAAAAAGGGTAAAAAAAAATTTATATATATATATGCACAAACACATACAAATCTTAGAAGACATAATAGGAACTTCGCACAAAAAGCAAGCATGAAAGCCTTAAAAGGCTACATAGAACATAAAACTAGACAGCTAATTCCATTGTAAAAACCGTATGTTGAGTGCCAACTATTTGCTAGCCTCTAAGTACTTTACAAACATAATCATAAATGTTCAGCACAAAAACCCTGGAAGGCAGGTATTATCATCTTTTCTTCATTTTACAGCTAGGGAACCCAAAGCTTGGAGAGGGGACCCAAGATAGCCAAGAATTTAAACCCAAACCTATTCCAGAGTCTGTGCTTTTGTCCACTATTCAATTCATTTTTCCCCTGAATCTGTGAGCTAGCATAAAAGAACAGAAATTGGATGAGCATCCTCACTAGATTCCAACTGTACAAGCAAAGTTGGCTTTAAACAGATTAAGTCATACAATTTGATAAAGCACAATAGCTGGCCAGAAAGCTCCAGCAAACCTTTGATGGCACACACAGCACCATAAATATTACAGAAGATCACCACTATTCAACAATGAAAGCTGAAAGGGAGAGATGACTCATTAAAGGGAAATATGGTAGTAAGCACAAATCAAGAATCTTTTCCTTTTTTTGAGATAGGATCTCACTCTGTCACTCAAGCTGAAGTGCACTGGTGCGATCATGGCTCACTGCAGCCTCAAATTCTTGGACTCAAGCAATCCTCCCACCTCAGCCTCCCACAGTGCTGGTATTACAGGTGTGAGCAACCATGCCCAGCCAAGACTCATTTATTAAGTCCAAAAGTACAATAAGTCCTCACTTAACCTCATCAATAGGTTCTTGGAAACTGCAACTTTTAGTAAAACAACATATAATGAAATCAATTTTTTTCTCATCAGCATTACAATGAAACATTATTCAAGGACTGCTGTACATAGCTTAAAGTTGCAGTTTCCAAAAACCTACCAACATAAAGTGAGAACTTTTTGTTTTATGAAAGTTTTGCTCAGAATCTAATATATTAAGACTTTCACCTGGGTGTTTAAACACTGTTCCAAAAATATCCAAAGAAATTGAAACTATATTTCATTATGTACTACCATATAAGTATATGAGACCATGCAAACTTACCCTTCATTTGATTTAAATTTTCAAGGTTATATTAAGTAATAAAATACACATAAATGAAAAAGGAAGAATATTATTTGATTTTTAAAAGAACTGTCTTACATTGGCATCAAAAAAGTTTCTGTAGAATTCAATCTATAAAATAAAAACAGTGAAATGATTCAAAAATATTTAGTTTATATGCAACTTTTCAATTTCTATGGGTGTTGTATATAGTTCACATAAATTAAGTATTCTATTCCCTGTATATCATTAAATCTACAAAAAATAAAAATTATCAACCCTGTGGGAGCTAAGTATAGAACAAGTTCTTCTTAAGATGAAAAGCATACTCTGAAGCATAAAAAAGAAAGATGGAAATGACTCTACAATGATGCATATTCTAGTTATCTCCCAAAAAGTTTAGATTTCACTTTAGCTTTGTGGTTTTACCTCTTTATTCTGCACTGCTTTCCTTCAATAATCAATTTCCAGCTCTATAGATGGGGTGCAAAGACTTTATTTTCAGGGTTGTTATAAGGATTAAATGACAAAATATCTTGAGTACCTACCACATAGTGTACCTAAGACGTAGTCAATGTTCCTTCCCCATGGTAAATTTCATCTCAATTCTAGTACCCATCAAAATGATTACAAATGTGAAGTAGATGAACCCCAATTAATAAGATTCTACTAAGTTTAACAATTAAAATCTAAAAAAAGGAGACAAAAATGTTCATTGTTTTATTTATCCTAACCCCCAATCTCTTCTTATGACAAGTTATTTTTATGTTAGTTACTAATTTAAATAATTAAAAGCAAATTATCTATAAATAAAATCTACAACGGTTGAGTTAATATCATATAATACAATTCAATTTTAATAAACAGATAAAACATATTTTTTGCCTGTTAATTTAAATCATAATTTCACTTAAAAATATGTCTTGGTCCCAGCACTTTGGGAGGCTGAGGCAAGTGGATTGCCTGAGCCCGTGGGTTTGAGACCCACCCAGGCAACTTGGTGAGCCCGTGTCTCTACAATAAATCAAAAATTAGCTGAGCATGGTAGTGCATGCCTGTAGTTCTAGCTACTTGGAGGGTTGACGCAGAAGGATCGCTGGAGCCCAGCAGGGCGAGGCTATGGTGGCCGTGAGCAAACCACTGCACTCCAGTCTGGGCGACAGTGAGACTCCAACTCAAAACAAACAAACAAACAAACAAACTATATATATATATATAGTTATATATATCTTGGGCTGGGCTCGGTGACTCAGCCTATAATCCTAACACTTTGGGAGGCCGAGGCAAGTGGATTGCCTGAGCCTGAGGGTTCGAGACCCATCTGGACAACTTGGCGAGAACTGTCTCTACAATAAATCAAAAATTAACCAAGCAGTGATAACGCGCGCCTGTAGTTCGGCTACTTGGACGGCAGAGGGGGAAGGATCCCCGCGGAGCCCAGCAGGTCGAGGCTGCGGAGACCGGGAGCAAACCACTGCACTCCAGTCTGAGCGACAGAGTGAGACTACAACTCAATCAATCAATCAATCAATCGTGGTCAGGTTCGGTGGTTCAGCCTGTAATCCCAGCACTTTGGAAGGTCAAGGTGAGTGGATTGCCTGAGCTCACGGGTTCGAGATGAGCCTGGGCAACTTGGCGAGACCTCGTCTCTACAATAAATCAAAAATTAGCTGGGCATGGTAGCACACGCCTGCAGTTCCGGCTACTTGGAAGGCTGAGGCAGAAGGCTCGCCAGAGCCCAGCAGGTCAATGCTGGGTTGGTCGTAAGCGTTCCACTGCATTCCAGCCTGGGTGATGGATTGTGGGTGTGTATATATATACACACACACACATATACACCTTGGTTGTTTCTCTATATTTATTCTAGTTACATTTATTTTTAAAATCTATTTTATTAATAATGATAATGGGCAACATTCATTGAGCATTTTTAGGCACCATATTAAAAGCTTTATGTAGGCTACCTTATTTCATTTTGATGAGGTAGCCCTACAATATTCTCATTTTACTAATGAGGAAACAAGACTTACACAAAGGTTAAATAACTTGCCCATGGTCACACAGCCAGACAGTGGTGGAACCCAAATGTTGAATCAGGCAGGTTAATGGAATGATCAATCTAATAATCTAGCTCATGATAGCTAGAATCTGTGAGGATTTGGTATTAATAAATTAAGTAGACTTCTATGTGATTTTTTAAAAAGAAAAGTATTCAACGTTGAATATATGCAATGTAATAACAATGTATAGTACTATGTATACAGATAATATACTAATAATATTAGTACTTAAATTTAACATATGGCTGAATACTCATGATTAGAAGTACAAGGAAATTTCATAGTAATCACCAAAAACTACTTGTCTTTATTGTTATGTACACTGGTAAGTCATCAAGATAAAAACATTCATTTGAGCTGTCTTTACAACTCTGAGTTACTTTTCAAACTAGTTCTACATGTTATAAATCAAACTTTGAAAGGGGCACAAGACAAAAAAAGGCAATTAAACTGGGAACAAGAAATGATAAAATTAAGAATGCCTTTGAGTTGCTAATGGCAAAAATAATAAAACGAGATTTTTCTTTTGAGAACCTTTTGTAAAAGAAAAATTAATGACAAAGCATTGTATTTAGTAACATAATAGCCGGGTGCAGTGGCAAGAGGACTACCTGAGCCCAGGGGTTCGAGACCAGCCTGGGCAACTTGGCGAGACCTCATCTTTATAATAAACCAAAAAATTAACCAGGCGTGGTGGCATGCTCCTATAGTTCTAGCTACCTAGACGGCTGAGACAGAAGAATCACTTGAGCACAACAGACCGAGGCTGTGGTATCCGTGAGTTATGCCACTGTACTTCAGCCTGGCAACACAGTAAGATTCAAACAAACAAACAAACCATAACAGACAAACCTGTCTTTGACAGTATGATTCTTTGAGTTTCTTGAGATGTGTTGTCATTTTCACTTTGAAGTGAATCTCACTGCTATCCTAAGAAGATAAAAGAAAAAAAAATTATCCCTCTTTGTATAAAACATTTGCTTTGCTTGAACCACATTGTTTAATTACACATACAACAGAAACATAAACTTCATCACCTGTTTTTCACCAAAATATTTTTAGCATCCCTAACAGATTTTATTAAAATACTCTAATCATTCTCAAAGTTGCTTTATATACCCATTGCAAAAGAAACTTAATAAAACAAAGATTATGTGTCTTGGTTGTTAAAATTATTAGCAGAAGTGTTAAGTAAATGCATTCCTTCATTACTGTATGGTCATTCTACTGTCAAATAAAAGATATACTATCACAAACCCCCAAAAGCAACTCAAAATAAAAAGCAAGCCCCTCAAGTGAAGTGTCACTGGAGGGGATCAAACCTAGGAAGCACATACCATAAAATAACAGACTGAGAAATTTATTTCTGCCATTAAAAAGTAACTCCATGGAATCTAGTTTCCCTCATATGGGTAAAATGAACAAGAACCCAAGTTAAACTAATTTGTGGGACCACAAATTTTCTTCTACTCAGACTGTCAAGCAAACTATCAGACAATCATCGGAAAAAATACTGGCACTTGCATGCAGTAAAATTTCAAAGTCAGTCCTTATGAATATATATCACATTCACAAATGTATATTAGTAGAAGTATCATGTTTATAATATTTTTGTCTGTGACTATAATTATAAAGAAAGAAAAACTCCCTCCCATGGATAATTTCATAAATACACACAATTTCTATAGCAAACCTCATGCCATACATTAAACTGACTTCCAGATAAATTAAAGAGTTAATATTAAATGTTTTTTCTTTTTAAGATCTTCCTTCAAGAGAGAATTTTTTCTCTTAACCCTGGCATTGGGAAGTCCTTGTCATAAAGTAAGTTTTAACTTAAAAACCAGTAAAAAAAAAAAAAAAAGAGAGAGAGATGAATAAATCTGACTTCATAAAAACAAACTGTTCGGTAAATGACATCATAAAGAAAGTTAGAGGCTGGGCTCGGTGGCTCAGCCTGTAATCCCAGCACTTTGGGAGGCCGACGCGAGTGGACTGCGTGAACCATAGGTTTGAGAACAGCCCAGGCAACTTGGTGAGAATTTGTCTCTACAATAAATCAAAAATTAGCCAGGCATGGTAGTGCGTGCCTGTAGTTCTGGCTACTTGGAAGGTTGAGACCGAAGGATCACTGGAGTCCAGCAGGTCGACAATGAGGTGGCTGTGAGCATGCCACTGCACTCTAGTCAGCAACAGAGGGAGACTCCAGCTCAAAAAAAGAAAGAAAGCCGGGCTCAATGGCTCAGCCTGTAATCCCACGCCTTTGGGAGGCTGAGGTGAGTGGACTGCCTGAGCCCACGGGTTCGAGACCCGCCTGGGCAGTGAGACCTCATCGCTACAATAAATCAAAAAGTCAGCCAGGCGTGGTAGTGCATGCCTGTAATCCCGGCTACTTGGAAGGCTGAGGCAGAAGGATCACCGGGGCCCAGCAGGTCGAGGCGGCGGTGACCGGGAGCGGCCACTGCGCTCCAGTTTGGGCAACAGAGTGAGACTCCGACTCAAAAAAAAAAAAGAAAAAGAAAAAAATAGATTCATTTCATTCATGAAATTAAAAACCGCATGCTGCAAAGGATACAACCAAGAAAGTAAAAAGACAACCTACAGATGGCAGAAAATATTTGCAAATCATATATATGATAAAGGTTTAACACCCAGAATATATAAAGAACAATTACAACTCAAAAATAAAAAGACAACTAATTCAATTTTTAAAATGGGCAAAAGATCTACACATTTTCCCAAAGAAGATGTACAAATGGTCAGTAAGTACATAAAAAAGACCCATCGGCGCAGTGGCTCAAGTCTGTAATCATATCACTTTGGGAGGCCACGGCGAGAGGATTGCCTAAGCAATCCCTGAACAACGTGGCGAGACCCCATCTCTACACTAAATCAAAAAATTAGCCGGGCATGGTGGCCCGCACCTGTAGTTCCAGCTACTTGGAAGGCTGAGGCAGAAAGAGTGCCTGAGCCAGCAGGTCATGGCTGTAGTGGCTGTGAGCATGCTACTGAACTCCAGCATGGGCAATAAAGTAAGACTCCAACTCAAAAATAAAAATAAAAAATAAAATAAAATAAAATGAAATAAAAAAAGACGCTCTCCACCACAAGCCACAGGGGGAAATGCAAATCTCAATGAGATACCACTTCATACCCACTAGGATAATAACTAAAACCTGAGCCCAGCAGGTAGAAGCTGCAGTGGCCATGAGCATGCCATGACACTCCAGCCTGGGAAACAGAGTAAGACTCCAACTCAAAATAAAAAAAAGAATGAAGTACTGATACATGCTACAACATGGATGAACTTGAAAACATGTCAATTGAAAGAAAGCAGACACAAAAGGCCACATAGCCTATGATTCCATTTATATGAAATGTCCAGAAAAGGTAAATCCATAGAGATAAAGAGTTGAATAGTGGTCGCAGGGGCTAAAGGAAGGGAGGATGGTAAAAGAATGCTAGTTAATGGATATAGGGTATCTTTTTGGAGTGATGAAAATGTTCTGGAATTAGTGGTGATGGTTGCACAACCTTGTAAATATACTAAAACCACAAATTATATACTTTAAAATGGTGAATATTATAGTATGTGAATTGTATCTTAATTTAAAAATTTTAAATAAGATAATCACAGAAAAATGGGGAAAGGTATGGTCACAAAATCATTACAGAAAAAAATTTTTTTAAAGAAAAATGGGAGCCAGGCTCAGTGGCTCAGCCTGCAATCCCACGCCTTTGGGAGGCTGAGGTGAGTGGATTGCCTGAGCCCGCGGGTTCGAGACCCGCCTGGGCAGTGAGACCTCATCTCCACAATAAATCAAAAAACCAGCAGGGCGTGGTAGCGCATGCCTGTAATTCTGGTTACTTGGAAGGCTGAGGTGGAAGGATCACGGAGCCCAGCAGGTCGAGGCTGCGGTGGCCGGGAGCGGCCACTGCACTCCAGTCTGAGCAACAGAGTGAGACTCCAACTCAAACAAACAAACAAAAAAAAATTAGCAGGGCATGATGGGACATGCCTGTAATCCCAGCTACTCATGAGGCTGAGGGAGAAGGATTGCCTGAGCCCAGGAAGTCGAGGCTGTGGTAAGCTGCGATCATGCCACTGCACTCCAGTCTAGGCAACAGAGACCCGGCTCAAAAAAAAAAAAATTACATCTTACTGATAATCAGGTAAATGCAAAATAAACAAAATTGTGTCTTATCTATCACACTGAAACAAAATTTATTTAAAGACTTCAAGTATCTCATGTTTGGGAGAATGTGGGGAAATTGTACTCTCACACTTTCACGGTGAGAGTCAACCACTCCATCGATTCTGTCTTTTGGTCTTTAAAAAACCCCATGTACCTGTGAAGACTCATTCCTCCAACAGTTTTCAGCTAACCTTAACTAGTATCTCAGAAAGAGTCAGTAAGACACACACCAGAGTCTGGGGAAACTGGGAGCCAGAAAAAGGGCAGACACGGCCTTTGGCTTAGGGTTGGCCCTAGCCTTAGCATTTAATTTCACTGTATTTGCCAGGAAGCATGATAACCAAGAAAAAGTTTCCATTAGGAGAAATTAAGGTGACCTAAAACTGTATAGCATAGTAACTTAAAAATAGTATCAGCCTCTGCTACCTCCAACAGATGTATAGATAGTAAATGAAAATGTAATTTTTAACACTTTGCACTCGGATGTCCCCTCTGAGGGGAATCATAAATCTAACAAACCACTCGGATGTCCCCTTCTCGGGAGGATAAAGAGTCCGCTGGTAATTATACAGGACAAACTTATGCAAGCGCAAATTTTTCAAAAATGTATGTTTCCTTGAAATATTCCATTCAAATTACACAAAAGAGCAAATAAAGAGATGAAATACATACTGAGATACATGTAAAAAAAAATATCAGCTTGCATTGCATAGAAAGAGAATGTGTGAAGTGCTTTCACAGTGGTGCCCAAACTTCTTTGTAATGGAAGGTAGGATAAAGAGCATTTGTATAAGAAGGTTGCTGTGGGTATATCCTTTATATCATATAACATAACTTGAGGAGATAGATAAGCAAGTGACTATAGCCTTAAAAGAAAGAGACTTTCAAAGTTAGAGGCAGATCATATTGAAGTATTAAGCGGCACAGATCGAACATAGCTAACGGCATTAAGTCAGAAAAGTAAAATTGGAAAAGTAACGTTCTCTTGATAAATTTCATTTAGTGATTTTGTAATTTACAATTAGAAATTGTTTATCCATTTATTTAGCTTAAAGAACAATGGTAAAATGAAAAGACAAAAGTGAGAATTATAATATAAGCAGTAGCAAAGATGAGCTAGGTTTAGACTCATCTTTGTGGCTTTCAGGAATCACAAGTGTGTCCTTCCACATCATCTTCAAACAACAGACTGGACAATAAATTACATATTATTAATGTGGGAGGAAGAAAACAAGACTGTGTTGTCTGCTCAAATAGAAATACACCAAGTGGAAGATGTCAAGCAAATCACTACTGCATATGTGTCGATGAACCTGCAATGCATGTTGGCAACTGTTTCACATTACCACACTTTAGAAAAACATAAGATACAAAATTTTGATTTTTTGTCATAAATGAGTTCCTCAATGTCCAAAATTCCATTACAAGCCAAATATCATTACAGTAACTGGTTCCAAGCGCTACACTATTTAATATGAAGTGATTCATTTTTCACTACTATTCCATAGAAAAGTACGGTTGAGCCAGGTGTGGTGGCTCATATCTGGCGGAGGTGAGAGGATTGCCTGAGCCCAGGGGTTTGAGACCAGACTGAGCAACAAGTTGAAACCCTGTCTCTACAATAAAAAATAAAATAATTAGCCAGGCATGGTGGTTTGCATCTGTGATTCCAGTTACTTGGAAGGCTGAGGTGGAAGGATCACCTGAGCCCAGCAGGTCGAGGCTGCTGTGGCAATGAGCATAACACTGTACTTCAGCCTGGGCAACAGAGTGAGACTCCAACTCAAAAAAAAAAAGTGCAGTTGAGTTGCTAATAGGTGATCCATGAGATGTCTCTGAGTGCAAAGGGTTAAATAATTTGCCTTACTTAAATCATTTTTCCAATAGGTGAAAAGTTATTCACACACCAGAAGAGAGTCAAAGGAGAAAAACAGTAAAACTCACCTGCCCAATAACTTTGAGTTTAATGTATTCTCCTTCTTTCTTATCCCCCAAGTCCTCAGTTGAAGGTTTTGCCTCCTGAAAGAAAAGAAAATTTCAAGATAAAAGTTCCTGTATGGTATTTTAATAACTCACCTATGAGTAGCCATTACTTTCACTGAGGGTGCAAATTTTGCACCTAAGAGCACTTTTTCCCTGCCAGTCAATTAAACAAAAAAGTTCCTAAATCAATTACTGTCCTAAACACCAGTTCACTAGAAATCAAGAAAGGGGTTTCTTATATTATAAGATCCCACAGTAATATTCTAAAACTTTACCATGCATCAAAATAATCTGAAGGATTTGTTAAATAAACTGCAGGGCACCAGTCCCAGTTGTTTATCCAGCATGACTGGAGCAGGCCGAGAACTTGTTTCTAACAGGTCACCAAGTGTCTAGAGGAATAACCTAGAAGCCAGTGATCTACATCACCTCCCATCAGCCAGAAGTAGTTCATACTCCACAAACTCTTAGCCAAATATTCTGAATCCAAGATGATCTTCTCACAGCCTATCAGGAGTTTACTCCAGCTACATAACTGTACTAAGAAATGTAAATTAATCATATTATCATAAGCAAAGGCTAGTCAGTAAGGAACATCAAATAGGAAAGTATTGGACTAATGTCCTCCGGAGTCAGAACAATTCAGTTTTATATCATCTATTATTTTAGACTATCTGAAACATTATATCTAAGGTTAGAAGCTAAGGTTTGGCTAAAAAAAAATTAAATGCATTGGACTAGAATTAGGGGGGAAAAAAGCACAAATAGCATAAGGAGGAAAAGGAAAGAGGAGACAAAAATAGGAAGACAAGATGCTCAGGAGGCTGGGGGAAGAGGATCATTTAAGTTTCAAAGTCTGAAGCTAGCCTGGACAACAAACAACAGGAAGATAAGAGGATTACAAAATAATGTCATATAAAGGAATATTAAAATAAAAATCAAGTTAACAGAACAAATTAGTTGAAATAACTTCACCATGAAGTACCCTGAGAATAAGTAAACTGGCTGGGCACAGGGGCTCACCCTGCAATCCTAGCACTTTGGGAGGCCTAGGCAAGAGGATTGCCTGAACTCACGGGTTCAAGACCAGCCTAGACAACTTGGCAAGCCCTCATCTCCACAATAAATCAAAAACTTAGCCAGGCGTGGTGGCGTGTGACTGTATTTCCAGCTACTTGGAAAGCTGAAGCAGAATGATTACCTGGGCCCAGCAGGTCAAGCCTGCAGTAGTCATGAGCATGCCACTGCACTCCAGCCCGGGTGACAAAATGAGATTCCAACTCAAAAAAAAAAAAAAAGTAAGTAAAAGGAGTACCTTGGAAAATTTCACTAAGAGTGTGGCAAAAGCAACTTTATTTTCCCATGTACCATACCTTAGTTTGGCCACCAGATTATCAACTTATTTAAATATCTACTCTCTTAATGTTCATAATAATTTTAAACAAACCATACTTGATAAGAATACAACCATACTGATTGTTTGTTAGGGGTTTTTTTTGAGTTGGAGTCTCACTCTGTTGCCCAGGCTGGAATGCAGTGGCATGCTCACAGCCACTGCAGCCTCGACCAGCTGGGTTCAGGTGATCCTTCTGCCTCGGCCTTCTGAGTAGCTGGAACTACGGGCATGCGCCACCATGCCCAGATAATTTTCTGATTTATTGTAGAGACAAGATGTTGTCAAGTTGCCCAGACTGATCTCAAACCCCTGTGCTCAGGCAATTCTCTTGCCTCTGCCTCCCAAAGTGCTAGGATTATAGGCATGAGCCACCTTGCCCAGCTAACCATACTGTATTTTACCAGCTAAATAACAAAGCCATTGTCTTTGTAACTTAAATTACTAAATTCTTTTTTTGAGATGGGGTCTCATTCTGTCACTCAAGCTGAAGTTCAGTGGAATAATCATGTCACTGCTGCCTCAACCTCCTGGGCTCGGGTGATCCTTCCACCTCAGCCTCCCAAGTAGATGGGACTTCAGGCACATGCCACACCTGGCTAATTATTTTATTTTTTTTTGTAGAGACAAGGTCTTGCTATGTTGCTCAGGTTGGTAAACTCTTTAACATTCAAAAATTAATAGAACATATTAAACTAGAAATAACTCTTAACTTTAACATACAGGCTAGAATCTAGAGAAATGCTTACATAACAGAATTGACTTCATAAGTATGAATCCTTGCCTGTTTTTCATTCTGCAGTGCTTTTAACATTTGCTGACTACTGAATATTATGGCAGGAGGCAAATTAACCTTTTTTAGTGAGACAGTATTTCACTCGAAAACTATAAGACTATCTTCAAACATAGTCTCGCCACATTTCTATGAATTTATATTCATAGTAAACAGCTGCTTCTTCCTTTAAGTATCTAGAAAGCAAAGACAGCTTATATCCATGCAGTGAAGGGCAATAAACAGTAAGTAACCAAGCCCTGAATCCTCTAACCAGAGGGAGTGGGAGTGTCAGGTTTTAAGTTAGCACACCGGAGGAGGACAGATCCCTTCCATTAGCAGTAATATATCAGCACAATAGGAGTGTTTGCTCCTGTTTTTCCTAGACAGGGCAGCTACAGCAGCTACTCAGGACAAAAGAATTTCCCCCTACTCCTACCCATCATCCACAGTGCTTCAGAATTCTCCTAAGCCTAACTTCTCAGATCAAAAAGCATCAATCGCTTCCAGGACTCTAAGACCTAGAGCCAACCTCTAGAACCAACTTCTACAGCACATCATTCAGTTCTCCCATCACCACACAGTTCTCATTTTCCTCTCACTTTACAAACCCAAAGATGCTGTTAAGTTGGACTATCTGCTGTTTCCCAAATATGTTCATCAGCACTCTTCCATTTCCAGCCCTTTAAGGTCTCCGTTTATGTGTGTACATATATATGTATATAAATGTATCTATATATGTGTGTATATATATATATGTGTGTGTGTGTGTATACATATGTATCTATCCTCTCAACCTCTCTTATCACCAAGGATATCTATTTCACACATCAAGTAGAGCCTGGTTTTTTTTTTTTTTTTTTTTTTTGAGTTGGAGTCTCACTCTATCGCCCCGGCTGGAGTGCAGT